TGCTGGGGAGCTGCATCGTCCCGTTCCTACGAATGACTCAAGAGCGCAGTGAGCGAGTACACGCTCACGCAGACAAACCAAAACATCTGATAACAAAAACACATTTGTACAGAGGCAGACAACTAATTACCCATACCGCTCTACGATTATGACTTTTCTGTAGTCCTTTTGCCAATATTATCTGGTAGTCTGGTATCTGAGCAGGATGGTTAACCAGCCTCACGCTTCTGAGAAGACTCAGCAGGTTGAATATCGGTCCACGGTGTGCTGCGTGAACTCATGGTGGTGGTCAGGATTGATCCAAAAGGCCAATCGGCCGTTTTACTGATTAATTTTACTTCTATGTGAAGGCACAGGATAGATTTTTGCTTATATTTGCATTTCCCACAATGATCCGCAAAACACATAACAAGATTGCATTCTAAATGCGTGGCAGGCCATGTGTGTGTGCATACGTGAGGAGTGTGTATGGGCGGAGTGCGTTTCTCGGATGTGTGTGGCGGCCTGCATTGGTGCTCGCTAACAGCACTTGCCCCAACGGTCTGTTAACGCTATTTGGGGGATCTTTGTCTTTGTGGGGGGTGTGTGTGCGTGTGTGTGCGTGTACGGGGAGCGGTAGTGTAGTGGGTAGCGCACTGCGCTACTAACCTGGCAACCCGGGTTAAATTTATGCTCACGGCCAACACCAGTGACGATTATTTGAACTGGTCCTGGGCCTCCCCTAGGTCGACTCAGGTTCAAATGAATACCTGGTGCAGTGTGTAAACATCGCCACTGGGGAGACAAAGGCGGTCGGGCGTGGTGCTGGCCACCCAACCTCTCGCGTGCCGAGCCGGCCTTCATAGGTGCTCGCTAACAACACTTGCCCCTACAGTTTGTTAAGGCTATACGGGGGAACTTTGTCTTTTGTGGGGTGTGTCTATGCATGTATGAGTGTGGGATGCGTGCGTGCGTGCGTGCGCGTGTGGGGGAGGGCGGCACCATCTCGCGGAAGGCGTTCTCGATGGCTCCCACCACGAGCGCGTCCTGCGTCACCTCCTTCTCCGGCAGGGCCTTGGAGGGGGTGGCGGGGGCCGGGGAGCCCTGGGCGGGCCCCGCCCGCAGGCTCTGGGCCCGGGTCGCCCCTCCGGCCGCCGCCGCCACCGTCGCCGCGGCGGCCCCCGCGGGCCCTCGGCGCGAGCGGCCCTCGGCCTCGTCGTTGAGGCACGCGGGGGGGCAGCCCGTGCCGCTGCGCAGCACCTGGAGGGGGCGGCAGCCGCCACCTCTCGTTAGCCACGGCCGCGGCAGGCCACAGCCGGCGAGCGTCAACACGCACGCCGGGGACGTGGCAGTGGCACAGCTTGGCAGCCGGGTTGATGGATGGGTCCAGTACTCACCGATTTGCCCAGGCGCTCGCTCCCTATTGCTCTTCTATCGCTACAACAAGTTAGTACATTTACAAAGGTGGGTGGGTGGGTTAGTACCGGCGCAAACCACGTGCCCAGCAGATTGGTGTAGGCACTCGTGTGTGTGGACACGAATGTGCACAGCTTGTAATCGATCCGTTGATTTAATTGGTAGGCAGTGCAGGTCATCACGGTTGGACGGTGTGATGTGAACATATTTCCCCTTTGTACTGTCAAGACGTGTGGCTGGGTTGCCACGGTTACTGTTCTTGTGAAATTCACCCATTTGGATTCTTGCACCTGTGGTGAGGACCCGTTCTACACCGACTCACCGTTTGGTGGCAACCGCACCGTTTTGATCCACCACACAGATGTAAAAAGAAGGCACATTCCGTCTATATAACCAAACTATTTTTTATTTGACCAGGTAAGGCCCACTGAGCTGCATAGCTCTTTTTCAGAAGCGACTTGGCTATCACAAATGATCGCTCAACAAAAGTGGCTTATCACGGGGAAACTGAGAGCAGCCAAATACTCAAAAACGAACGTTGATTCTAATTGTGGAGGGAATAACTGAAGGAACTAGAGGAAAATCCACGCGACCACGGGGAGAACACGCAAACTCCAAATATACAGCAGGCGTCAGGGTCATCTCAATGGATCACACAGTCAAGAGCTACATTTTCTGCACGAATTTGGCAAAGGACTTGTAGGACAGCGTAAAAATGTGAGTGCATGAGAACACAGGCCTGGATGAGCCTGTGTTTAACACAAGCCTGTGTTTAATGTGCTGTATGTTCTACAATTGTTTTGTTTCACAAGTGCTGCATGTCATAACGACAAATAAAAATATTAAAAGGGAAAAAAACGTCGTGTTATATTGTTGTGCTCTTATTGATATTGTTTTCCTGTTATGAGTATTATGTTAAGATTGTTTTGCTACATGACATTTAAAATACTGCTCACAAAGCATTAGGATGCGTTAAGGTTACATTCTCAAACGCTCTTCTCACGTTTGCTCGTGATGTCTGTGACACGGATGATGTCCTATGATTTAAACGAAATTTCCAAAAATCCTCAAAGTCGACGTGCTACCGACGTTTGTGAGGAGCACCGTACAGGCCGTCATCTTGACTCGTGCGACGTCGCTTAACGGCGCGTGACGCCTAATGGACACGCGCGTGTAATCTGATAAGATTTACCTTTCTGACAATGTCACTTAGCCATCCGCTAAAGACATTGGCGGGTGGCGGGGGGGGGGGAGTGCAATTTGTGGCGCTCCCTAGGGAATGACACTTCCTCGCCGATGCAGTTTGCGCGGCCATTACCCGGCACCCAAAATGTGCTCACGTTTTATTAAGAGCCAGTGCCCTTGCGGTTAGCACGAACCGCTGGCGGAACAATTTATCAGCTTCTGCAAATAGCGATCTCGCACTGCTCCTCGTGTTTCAATTTGAACTCGTTTTTAATTTTGTTTCCATCTCCAGCCAGTGGAGGAGGGGACCCGGGGGAGGGGGGGAGGGGGTGGTGCTGGCGAAGCCGTGCCCACAGAGGAGCGAGCCGAGTGGGCCACCCGGCCAGGTCACAGGTCAAGGGAGCGGGGGGGGGGCATGGCTCACGAGAGGGGGAATACCGTGCGGAGGCAATGAGCCAGCGACGCCGAAATCCTGGGTGGGTGCCACGGTGGCGAGATGTTAACTACCTCTCCTGGTATACAGGAGTTCGTGGGTTCGATCCCGACCCTGACGCCTGTATACTTTATTTGGAGTTTGCATGTTCTTCCCGTGGTCGCGTGGATTTTTCTCCGGGTCTTCCAGTTTTCCCCTCCACATTTAGAATCAAAATCAACTGTTTAGAGTTTTTGGCTGCTATGAATGTTCACATGATGAGCCACTTCGTTGAGCTATCATTTGTGGCCAGGTCACTACTGTAAACGAAGCTAATAGCTCAGTGGGCTTTACCTGGTAAAATGAAAAATAGATAAGATTTACTTGTATATTTGTTTGGTCATTTGTTTATCTTTCCTATACTTTGCACTCCTATCGTGCTTTCATATTGTTTGCTGTCGTAATGTTCTTACACAGCCCCTACTGGACATCTGTGAAAAAAAGCTTTATAGCTCATCGGATTGCTCCGTTATAAATACATATTCTGAATCGGTATTCAGTTGATGTTCTCAGCCTTATCACCAATAAAATTGTTCCCAAAAACCCAATAATTCATTGAGATTTTTCACTGCCATTTTCCCCATTCAGCGAGTCGCGGTGTCTCCCGAATCACCGTACCCGTCTCGTGCAGAGTGAGCGTGCAGATGCGGATTCCTCCGGATGGATTCTGTCGAACGCAAACCACGACCGCCTCTCGCCACCGTACCTCCACGATGCCTTGCAGCTGCTTGGCCACGTGGTGGTGGAGAAGGCTGGCTGCCATGACGGCCGCCCCAGGGCCCGCGTGGCCGTCAAACATGCCCCAGTAGATGAAGGTGATGCCGTCGTCATCCTGCGCAGATGGGAGAGCGGACGGCATCACCACACGGCCACACGACCAAACGACCACACAACGGCCACACGGCCACACGATCACGTGATGGCCACATGACCAAACACCGGCCACATGACCACACAACGGCCACATGACCACACAATGGCCACACGACCAAACGGCCGCACAACGGCCACACGACCACACAATGGCCACACGACCACACAATGGCCACACGGTCACACGCGCGCATGTACCGAGCTCAGGCCACAGGTCACGAGCCGGGGCTTTTAACCCCCATTAACCCCGTCTCTCGGGAGCGAGCCTATCTATCTGCCACAAGTACCGTAAGCTGTGCGTCTCCACGCGACACACATTTCTGTAGCCGGCTAAACAGCCTGGCCCCCCCATCGTCTGCCGTCTTCCCCCTTACTCACTGGCTTGGCGGCTTACTACGGGACGGGCTCATTTTGGACAACACCAATGTGGGTACTTAATTGCAAAATGTAGTCGTGAGCATTGCTGCCCAACTCACCGGCGAGCCTACACAATAACAAACAGCACGGTAAGCGCTTGTGCACCACGCGACAAATTTAGTTTGTTCGGCTACGTCGGGTGGTGGTGGCTATGTACGTACGGTGTGATAGAAGTTCAACATTCATACATACATAGATTATCCTATGGCCTACCGAAAATATCTATCATGAATCAATGTGGGTAAGGTTTGGTGGGGGTTAGTGCGGGCTATAGCTAATACTCATGATGTATGCATCTTCCTTCGTATGGATTAATTAGCAGAAGATTAAAGATGCCATTTTAGATGTTGTTATCCACTCAATTGTCTGTTCAGACGCAGAGTGGATGTCGTCCGTTCTTTTAAAGGAGTGAAAGGTTCAACAATTGTGTCCCGTACAAGATGTTAATTTTCGATGTATGTATGTTGCTCTTCTTTCGTAGCCAACCGCGCTAATCGGGGGAAGGCTTATGATGACGACAACGATGAGAACCGACGATGAACCGCCACCCACCATGACGCCCTCCATGACCAGGTCGCCGTCCCCGTCGCGCGCCATCGTGGGGCTCTCCCTCCTCCAGGGCATGGCGGAGCGCAGCGCCGTCTGCTCGGCGCTGCGCTTCACGAACACCACCTCGCACACCGCCTGATCCTCGTTCAGGGGACTCTTGCCCGCATTGATGACCCTGCACTCCGCACAGACAGTGGCCATGATCCAACCCTCCCGTGTAGACTGTTCGGGGCAAGAGCAGCTCTTGAGCGACGTAGCGGCGTCTAGGAAGGCCGGCACGGCACACGAGTGGGTGGGCGGCAAGCACAATGCCCGACCACCTTTGTCTCCCGAGTGGCGATGTTCACACACTGCACCGGGTAATCGATTGAGGCCGAGTCAACCTTGCGGAGGCTCAGAACCAGTTCAGATCGTGACACACACACACATGGTCATCATCGTGATAATCATCGTCAGCCATGGGCAAACCACTGTTGGATGAAGGCCCTCCCAAGCCACTGCTCTATCTTCCTATCCTATCAAGTAATAATTCACCAACTGCCTTGCCCACAAGAATATTTCATCGCTCCATCTTGAAGGATGCCTATCGTCGCTGTCTGAACAACCCGAGGATACACCTGTGCTTATTCAATTGTCTAGAGTGATTCACAAGCTTACAGTGGTCAAGCTTTTTATATTGCTGTGTTTTCATATTGTTCGGATCATTGGATTGTGATATTTCTGCAATTTGATAATACCCATTGAAATGTGAATGCAATGAGGACAACAAAACAATTACTCCTAAGCGTATGCACTACGATACACCATTGTTTTTGATACTACGCCCACCGATTTTAGTAACCGGATGCCCAACGGGCTCATGTGATCAGCATTGCTGGCCAGAATCTCATCTTATGAACGTTTGGTGCGGCACTGCAGAGCACTGAGAAACGGGAGGTCCTTTGGCAGGCCTTAGCCAGCAGTGGCCAGACGACGAATGATGACTTACTTGAGATCTCACTATTAATCGTACGTGTGTAAAGGCCACGCATTTTAATCGGATGTCCTCAGTTCAATGCTGGTAAGCTGTATTATGGTACAGTATAACAAGGTATCAGAGTAAACGGCCGGGATTAGGTTCCGTGTACCCCCCGCGTAAGATTGGGTTCGCCTATACGAGCGTAGATATACAATGTAACCGTACACTACTATATACTACTACTATATTACGATACACGACTATATGCTACTATATTACTATACACTACTATATACTACTATTTTACTATACACTACTATATACTACTTTATTACTATACACTATATACTACTACTATATTACAATACACTACTATATACTACTTTATTACTATACACTATATGCTACTATATTACTAGATGAGTGTATCGTCTTCAAAAATGACTCAAACCGACACGTAACAAGTCACCTGCTTACACTTTATTCACCTGTTCTTGCGCCAGTTATAGGCACTCCTATGACTATCTGTACGGTCACACATACGTAACTTCTCCCCGCTCTTATCTATTCTGTACCTCACTTATCCTGCACTCAGGGACTTCACACTCAGCGACTCCGCACACAGAAGCTTCACACACAGCGTCGTCACACACAGCGTCTCCGCACTCAGTGACTCCGCACTCAGCGTCTCCGCACACAGCAACTTAACACTCAGCGACTCTGCACACAGCGTCTCCGCACACAGCAACTCCGTACACAGCGTCTCCGCACACAGCGACTCTGCACACAGCGTCTCCGCATCTCCACCACTGCCCTCGCCTACGCTCCCTCAGACCCGCTCACCCGTCTGTCCCGGGCGGGGGGGTTCAGCCAACACCCGCCCGGCGACGGCGTGAGGGTTGAGGTCTCGTTGATGGCCAGAGCGGCAGCGACGAGATGTCTTCACTCTTGGTTCCCGGCAACCACTCCCTCGATCACACACACTCCCGCTTATATCCTCCTGCTCATCCCGAATCCTCACGTGCTTTCACTTCAGCTGCCGCCAGGCCGGCGCAGGTCATTCCCATTAATCTCTTAACATCACACCACGTCTCGCGTCTCCTAGGCGCCAACCTATGGTCACAGCGTAGCCACCTGTTCGACCTCGGTTGCACCCGCTTCTTCCCTTAATTACTGTCAGTTTGTCGGTGCAAACCTCATGTTGCAACGCGCACACCTGTTTGCCCTCCGTTGCACCTCGCTTAACTGTGCGCACCGCGTATTTCTCTCCTCTACACGAGTCTAGATATACATTCTATATATACACTATTAGATACTACTATATTACTATACACTATTATATACTACTATATTACTATACGTGTGGAGATATCCAGTGTATATATATATACTACTATATACTATGAAATGAGTGTAGATACACTATATACTACTATATTACTATACACTACTATATAAAATGTATATAAATGTACATAAATCTTCTTGGTTCTTTTGGTAAAGTCACGTAGGTAGAAAATTTATAAATAAAATAAAAAGAATAGATCACGACGTTTCGATCGCAACAAACGTCGTGATCTATTATTTTTATTGTTTTTTTTTCTATCTACGTGACTTTAACGAAAGAACCAAAGAGTATAAACTCTTTCTTGTTCGTGAAAACCAATAAATTGGAACGCTGTAAAGATGTTCCTGGTTCAGACACTTCATCATCGAGATATGCCAGTCAGTAATGATGTAGAGCATCTCACCAATCCACTCCTGGATGGAGGCCATCCGTGCGCCATGTGTGGGTTTGTTTGACTCACGTCAACCGTGCTGTTGAGTGTGGACTTTTCGGATCTTAACTGATTGTGTTCACGTTTACGGTGACTTTCAGACCGCATTCCACTCACTGGCATTGTATTCTTTGCAGGGAATGGATTCTTGCTCCGCTGCAAGTTTGCTCCGCTGCAAGTTTCACACGCTACTCTCCCATTGACATATTTCGTTGCTTCCTCTTAGTATCTTTCACACGACGGTCAATGGTACAGTGTATAATAACAAATAGTATAAAATTGATATGCTTAATACAATGTACAAAGTAATACAGTGATACCTCGGTTCACGAACTTAATTCGTGAAATGACTCTGGTCGTGAACCGAATTGGTCGTGAACCGAGGCACATTTTCCCATAGGGTTCAATGTAAATCCGGTTAATCCGTTCTGACCTTTTTTTTGGGTTTTTGAAGCACAAAAATATGAAACAAATGACAATACACATTACTGTAGTACTGTACAGTATAGTAATGTATAAAGAGAGAACACTAACCTTGCTTGAGATGACTTCTGGCATGGAGGAAGGCAGGTGGGAGGCGGGTGGGAGGCGGTTATTGTTTGGAGGGAGAGTCCCCCTCCATAAGGACATCAGGGGGATCTCCTTCAGGGGTTTCCTCTCTCCTTTGTCTCCTAGCTGCAGGCTCAGTTTTGCTGAAAAATCTGTCCAATGTCACTTGTCTCTTCCTGCGCTGCATAACCCTCCGGAAATGAGAGACCACATTATCATTCATGAGATTTAACACTCTGTTCGTGACAGCTATGTTGGGGTGGTGCTTTTCAAAAAAGTCATGGCACTCATTCCATTTTTGCATAATGGATTTTATGGCATCACTGCTAACCTCCTCCCTTTCTTCCTCTTCCTCAGTGGAATGCTCCTCAAGAAGTGCCTTCTGTTGCTCACTGTGGAGTTCAGAAAGTTCTTTCGTGGTCAGCTCCTCCCTATGTTCCTCAACAAGCTCTTCCACATCAGCACAATCAACGTCCAGACCCATACTCTTGCCCATGGACACAATTTCCTCCACTACCTCTGCATCAGACCCTTCTAAGTCATGTTCACGTTCAGTGACACATTCTGGCCACAGTTTCCTCCAGGCTGAATTTAGGGTTCGGGGAGTGACCTCTTCCCAGGCTTTGTCAATGAGGTTAATGCAGTGGACAACATTGAAATGTTTCTTCCAGAAGTCTTTCAAAGTCAAGGACGTCTCTTCAGTGACATTAAAACACCTAGTGAAGAGCGCCTTTGTGTACAGCTTCTTGAAGTTGCAGATGACTTGCTGGTCCATGTGCTGCAGAAGTGGTGTTGTGTTGGGGGGGAGGAACTTTACCTTGACGAAGTCATACTCCTGTTCGTGAACCGAAGCGGAGTTCGTGAACCGAAGCATATTTTTAAATCCTTTATATTAAGTTCGCTTGCTTGCTTGCGTGCTTGCTTGCTTGCTTACGACCGTGTAAATCTTTCGGTCGTTTTTTAACCCACTTCCCATGATCCCATCTAGTTGACATTTTCCACACAGACTCGTTGTGCGTGACAATTAATGTTCGTGAAATTTTTTTTCCAAAATTTTACACTGTTTAGGGAAAACAAATTAAATATTTAATTACCAATTGTTTAATACTGCAGACAATCATCTGACCCATAGGTTGCAGCCATCTCAAGCCAGAGGACGAGAGGACTCTAGCCGCCACGCATATAAAGGATTTAGAGTGAAAAACTTTGTTTTTACGGGTTATACTTATTATGAAATTTTCTGGTCGTGAACCGAGTTGTTCGTGAACCGAAGCGTTCGTGAACCGAGGTATCACTGTATATAGTATCGTAATTGTATAGTGAATATACAGCAGTGTGATATACATTAGGGTGGGTAGAATAATACATAGTGTAATATTACAATGTATAAGGTTTAGGGTGGTTTATAGCAATACAGTATGTCATTTAATATTGGGGTTGTCTATGGCAGTATATAGTACGGTGTAGACTCGTGTGATGTAAGAGAATAAAGTTTAGATGGAAGCATATTAGATTTTTTACGACGTAGAATTGTAATGTATTACTTACTGTTAGTAACTCAGCTTATTGTAGAGTATATTTAGTATACTGATGATACTATGTAGTTTATACTTTAGTTGTTTACGTGGTGGTTTTAGTTACTGCAGCTACATACTATTAACACTCCTTCCCTTTATTAATGCTACCCCTATCCCCTCCCTTTGATGCTGCTAATCCTGCATAATGCACGGGCATAAGTAGTACTAATCACATACCTGCATTTCCCATATCCCCTCCCTTTGATGCTGCTAATCCTGCATAATGCACGGGCATAAGTAGTACTAATCACATACCTGCATTTCCCATAAATATGCTAAATTCCTCTTGATATGCAAATTCCTTTGTCAAGGC